TTAAACCCCCCCCCCCCCCTCTCACTCTCTCTCTCTCTCTCTCTCACCTCCCACCGTTTCAGGTTTTTGTCGGTAGGTTAACGGGTAACAAGATAACTAAAGTTAACGTGTCGGTGGTTGCGAGCAGGAAGATTAATTAAGCATCGCACGAGGAGAGATCAACTTTCTTATCTTATCGATCTGTCTTCCTACATTATACAGAGATAAACAGATATAGAGGAAAAGTAAAACGGTCCGGTGCGAATAAATTTATTCGAGTTGGGTGAAACTGGATAGGTAAGAATAAAATGCGTTAACGGTGGGTCGATGTGGAAACCTTTCCAAGTAAAAGGTTAATTGATACGTCAGGTTGGATATTATAATAGCACAGGATCGCGGAACAAATGGGCTAGCGTGTGCAACAGGTGGTATGTGCATTGGCTATACTATTCGCGTGGATAAAGAAGCGATCTAACCCAGTTAGAATTCTGCCGCTGGTTAGAATTGAATTTGAATTTGGACGGCGAAACAAGATGGGAGATCGCGGTTCCTTTCCCTTTCCTCCTTCGAGATTTCACGTGACACGGTGAAATCGCAGAGGTCGCGGCTACTATCGCCGTAGTCACGCGCTTTCTTTCGTAGGTGTACGCTCGTCTCGTCCCGATGCAGGCCGGAGAAAATAAACGAGGAGAGGAGACAAAGGTGCGTTGAATATAGGCGCGAGTACGCAGAAAGGAGTTATTTTCGCCGCCCAGCTTTCCCACACTTTCCCGCACGATCGCAGTTCGATCGACGGGAAACGAGTGGGAAACGGTGGGGAACGAAATAGAGCAATGTACCTCTTCGTTCTCGTGAACGTGCAGCAGATGAGTAGAGGCCATTAACCCCCTGATTGACCCGAGCATTCTCCTCTTAATCAGACCGGCTTTGCGAGCATGATCCCTGCTGCTCTCGATCTCTCCCGTCGTCTCCTCGTTTTCCGTATCGGAGCACAGTTTGTCCATGCTTTTCGTCGGCTCGTGGAAAACCGAATCGGAACTAGCGATCGTTCTCTTCGGACCGGCATCCTTTTCTTCATCTCCTCCTTCCCCTTCTCCTTGCGGAGGAGAAGTCAAGTTCTCCTCGGAGACGGAGGTCAGACCGAACTCTTCGACCCTGGTGATCGAGCCGAATTGGCCAGTTCTCGCTCTGGTGAAATCGTAAGAGGCGCTCTGAGGAAACGTCGGGGTACGGGCAAGAGCACCGACAGCTTGCAACTTTGCGTGCTTGTTCACCACTTGGTTAATCTTGGAGGTTTCGTCGCGCAACCAGCATCGCATCTTCTCCCATGCTTTCCCCAGTCGATGTTTCTGCAAGTGTACACGTATAGAGGGGTGGTGTCGGTAGGTTTTCGTAACCGTCCGCGATCAGACTCGTCGATAAATCTCTACTAGCTGCTTCGAGTCGACTCTCTCTCTCTCTCTCTCTCTCTCTCTCTCTCATCTGTCTCTCTGCGAAAGATGAATTCGGTCGATTCGAAGCTTCTGTGCTCTGGTGTTATCGCCGAGTCCGATCGAAGCGTAGTTCGTAAGAACGGCACGCCGACAATACCTTGGTGTACAGTCCGTTTCGGCGGGAGATGTTCGAAAGAGGAGCGCCGTTGGAGCACTCGGGATCCGAATAGGAGCCCGCCTCGTATCCGTCGTCCTCCGACGTCGTATCCTGATTCTTTTTTTCAGTACACCTCAACGATCTCGCGGTTGGTTTGGTTCGATCGTACGAGTCCGAGTCCAGATTCGTCCTCGTTCGTTTCCCCGCTTTCTCCGAGCCGAGGATTTCATCTTTCGACGAATCGGCCACGTTCTTTCCGTCGATTTCGTTTCGAACCTCCGCAGATTCCACCTGGAATTTCCCTCGGATCGTGCCGCGAATCTCGTTACCGTCCGCCTCTGTCTCGCGCTCGCGCTCGCGTTCGCTTTCTACCACTTTCTCGCTTTCGATTTCCTCGAGGACGTACGAATTCCTAGGAAAGTCGTACAGTAACTCGTCTTGCGTCGACGCATCATCTTTCTCGTTCCCGTCCGCAGACGAGGCTGGCGTTCTTTCCTTCGAAACTCTACCGCCGACCTTCTCGTCCACGTGGAGAAAACTAAAGCTGATCTTTGGCAATCCATCGTCTTCGTCGCCGTCCTCGTCGTTCACAGATGTGACCGCGGTCAATTCCACGGTGTTCCTGTGTCGCTTCTGCGGAACACCTTCTCGTTCGCCGATCACGTCGGCTTTGTCGACCTCGGTTACGTCAGGGAACTCGTGACAATGTATTATCACTGGCGCGGGAACGTCGTACCAGATTGTCGTACAACTGCCGCCGTTACCGTTCAACGACGATAATTTTCTGACCGACTTTAACGAAGCCCACGCGTATTTCGCCTCTTCCATTTTTCACATTTACCACATCGCCGTACTCCTTTTTCCGCGGAATATGTAATAGCCCAAGCCTTGCCACTTTGTTTTCCTACACACGCGATTCCGATCGATCGACCTTCGGAAACGAGTTTCCCCGATTCGGCCGATTTTCCGTTAAACTCTCCATCTGCCGTAGGAGGAGGAGGAGAAGGGAGAGAGAGGATCGCGTCACGTAAACGATTCACCGGTAATTATCGTTCAACTCGCGCGTTCCAATTCGAACGAACCAACGATCTGCTGTCCCGTCCTTCCTCCGATTGCCCCTCTCTGCGCGCACCGTTGTTCCGACGGTAGGAGTGCCGTGCAACCGATTCCCTGTCTCGTTCGCGCGACATCCAACACCGTTCGCTAAACTTCCTACTTCCGTGCAGTTGTACACTTTCGTAGGACAGAACGATCAGCGTAACATATATGTAGGTTCGACGAGTCGCAAACGAACAGGCGCGTTATCGATGAAGGAGGACGGTGGTCCGCGGTGGTTGCGCGACGACGTTCCAGTCGTGACTGGATTCACGCTGGAAGCCGTATTATACAACACCGTCGAACAATTATATCCGCATTATGTTGCGTACACACGTATTGCACAACCGGGCAAACAGTACACCGCGTGCCTCCAGAAAAATATTGTACATGTACGTAGGAACGGTGGCTGTGCCGACGACGCGTTGTAAATCTTCGTTCCGATCGTTTCCGTGCAAACGGAGCAACGCAACTGTCGAACGGTGATGCAACAGATCGCTTCGTATTCCAAAGTATCTCGGATAGGTGCCGTCACGTGGTAGCTGTCATGCCTCTCGCCGGATTAGGAGAAAAAATATGCGAATATACCGCGTATGCCCTGCGAGAGGATGTCGCGGTTAACGACGAGGAGAGGAGAGGAGAGGAGAACGCACTCGGAAATGGTATGCACGCGTTATTACTACTAGTCAACTACACGGTAACGCTCCGAAACGAATGCTCCGCGACGAGCACCGGAGCAGATATAATAACGTCCGAGCGGGGTAACGACGGCGGCTTTCTAGGCGGGAGCTGTTAGTCTTTTTCTTCGCCACTTATATTTAGCTCGGTTCCGCGCGACACTCGCGCGTTACCGAAACATGGTGTGCACGTGTCGCCGACTGCGTTTCTCCAACTGCACGCGCAACTTTTCCGCGATCCGGTTCGCCCGATCTTGCCGGATCGTTGCGCAACACCTCTCCTCCTTTCGCCGAAAATATTTCGTAAATTCGCGGATCTTCACTCAAATACAACCGTCGCGACCGAGTGTTTCTCGACACACATACCGAGCACCGTTTGCAGATTAAACGGCTGCGAGGTACGTCGATTGCTAATGCCCCGTAATTAAAGTTAAACGCGAGAAGGAGGGAAAATGGCAAGCGAGAAACCACGAGAATTAGTCCGACAGAAGCCTTACCGGACGGTAGTAAACGGCCGGTCCTCCGGTATCGACCAACTATCGCACCTACGCTACTTACGCGCATACACCGAATAACTTACGGCTGTCTCTCGGGTGAATTTAGACGATCGCCTCATCTCGCGCTGGTTAGTATAGCACGTACTATTGCACTGGTGCGCGGTTGCCGCGAACTTTGGTACATCGTTATCGTGTCCATACCACGAACGAAAAAATATGTTATCTAGCTCGTTGAAAAACTAAAGGCGGTACGCATCGAAAATCCGGCGAATCGAGAAGAGAAGAGAAGAGCACCAAGTTCTACCTACTGTACTTACACCGAGATGGACGACGCTCGTGGAAAACCATTGGCATTTCGGGAACATCCTACGATTGACAGGCGTCCTCCGCCTTCTCCTTCGACCGTGCTTGCAACTTCTCTGGTGCTTTTTAACCGTGATATTTTTTAAATCAC